AAGACATGACATACACTCCCTAATATCACTACATGCAGACAACCACGGGCACCAATTCGACTGGGACAATGTTCAAATCTTAGACAAGAAAAAATGCCAGAGAATTCCTAGAGACCTGGTATTCAAATGAATCAGCAATCAATAGACACATAGAGATTGACAAAATATACCAATCCATACGAAGAAATTCACACAAAATCAAAGTCAAACTTCAGATCAAGGAAACAGTCAACACCAAAACAAGTGAACTAGAAAGTGAGAAGTCACACAAAAACAACCAATCACGTTCAAGGTTACTAGAAGAGATGACTAATAAACTCATAGAGAATTCTAAAAGCTCACTTCACATCGAAGTATGCGCTGAAGATGTTGCTCAGTAGAGCAATGAAAGCTTCGCAACCAAACCATCCAGCTCAGAGAACACAACCACCACACCAAAATCATCCACCTGAGCTACAAATCTTCTCTATTATATCTAAATGATGTGCAAATGGGGCAGGTTGAGAATATGGTATACCAAATTTAGCTATGTACCATACGTTACACTAAATAAACATTCCTTTCAGTCTCCTCGGTCTTTTCTCCTTTACACCAGTTGATATGATGCCGAACTTCTTCTTTATAGTATGGAGAGAAGCTTTTAGGTTTTTGCATGTTAAGAGATCTTCACATTATTTTGATTATGATCACTGATTTTTTCTCTCTCTCCCTCTCTCCGTCTTTGATGGTGTCATTTCACTTCTATAGATAGAAAGATACACAGAATCATCACCTGTACACATCTGATACAAAAACGGATATAGTCATGCCACCGCAAGAAGTCATGTTAAAACTGGCATAGGGTTGTATTTATGTATGTGTGCATGCGTGTTTGTGTGTGTGACGGTATATTATACGTCATCTGAGAAAGCCAAATATTTATTTCTTTTGTACCATTGTGGCGTGATGTTCGCGTGGTGTGTTATCTCCTTCAAAATCAGACGATTTATTTTTTTGGCAAAAATATAAATTTTTATGATCACATCAAATTTTAATGCACTACTACTATAGTAAAGAAATATTATTTAGGCTATTTTTGGAGGAAACAAAATCAGTTTCTTTTTCACATTGCTGTTCGATTGATAGTGAAAGTAATGTGTGTATCGGTGTGTTGAATGGAAGAACTGTTGAAGGCCTTCATGGCTTGGATCATCCATAAATGAATCTAGCACTTTACGAATATTATACATCATAAAAACACCACAGACAGTGGGAAACGAGAAGACAGGGATATCCTGGACCGATGTGAAGAACCTAGAAGACCTGGATTTCGCGCGTGGATGATTTATGTTTGATGTCACACAAAATCGAAGACTTACAAGCGAAAACCGACAAACTGGTCGAAGAAGCAGCAAAGACAGGACTCCAGGTGAACATAGACAAGACGGAGGTTATGAAAATAACCAACCAACAACAACAACAGCAGCAGCAACATCCAGCGCCAATCACCATCAACGGGAGGGATTTGAAAGAGGTTACTTCATTCACTTATCTAGCTAGGGAGCATTGTCTCAACTACAGGAGGAACGGACGAGGATGTCAAATCGAGAATCGGGAAGGCGAGAAACACATTCATCAACCTGAAACCAATCTGGAAATCTTCGTCACTCAGCAACACTCAACAACAAAATTCGGATTTTCAATACAAACGTCAAGTCAGTCAGTTCTTCTATACGGATCAGAAACTTGTTGGCGGGTCACAAAGAATATTTCCAACAGCCTGTTGCAGACCTTTATCAACAACAACAACAACTGTCTTCGCTGGCTCTATACTGAAGATCAGATGGCCACCGGAAAGAACAAGAACCAACAAGAAACTATGGGAACAAACAAACAAACGAAACAAGAACCAATCGCCCGAGAAATATGCAGGAGAAAGTGGAGATGGATGGATTGGACACTCGCTGAGGAGGCCACTCGCTGGGTGACATCGCGCGTCAGGCCATCGCTCGAGTGGAACCCGAAAGGGAAGCGGCGAGTGAGTCGTGTCTCCAAGGGTGACATGGAGGAGATCGTGTGAAGAGGAGTTGAAACAGTATGGATTAACATGGATGCAGGTGAAAAGTACAGCAGAAGACAGAAGCAAGTGGAGGCGTGCAGTTGAAGCCCTATGTTCCACTAGGAACCCAAGGGAACAATATTCTTTCTGGGCAGTTATTCGATCTTCAGTATTAAGGCAGTGAAGGTGGCAGCTGTTGATGAAAGTCTGCAGTGACCTGTTGGAAATCCTTTTCGTGACTGACACGCAGTACAAGTTTCTGACTTGACATTGTTGTTGAGATTGCGAAACTCCATCTTTAATGCTGAGGTGGAGTCAAGCAGAAGATTTCCAAACTGGTTTTAGGTCGATGAAGATGTATCTCTCTGCTATCTGAATCTAGCTGACTTTGACATCTTCGTCCATTCCCACTGCTTGTAGTTGAAAAGATGCTGACTTCCTAGATAATTGAAGGAGGTAACCTCTCTCAAATCTCTCTCGTTGATGGTGATTGGTGCTGGTTGTTTTTGTTACTGCTGTTGCTGTTCGTTGTTTTGTTATTTTCATCACCTCCTTCTCCACCTTTGCTATATTCACCTGGAGTCTTGTCTTCGCTGCCTGCCAGCCAGTTTGTTGGTTTTCGCTTACCTGCGTGTAAGTCTTCGAGTTTGTATGACATTCAACTGCATAAATCATCCACACGCGAAATCCACATCTGCTACAGTCTCTTCGCCCCCAAAAGTTTTGATGCATAATATCTTCGTTGGTGATAATAGGCAGCCAGCTTGTCTTACTCCTGTATTCACTTCGAACGCCTCTCTGAGTATTCCGTTATGGATCACCTTACTGACACGCACCAGTGTCATATGGCTAGCCCGTTGAATGAGGTCAATAATGATTTCAGGCACTTCATACCATAGTGTTGTCAAAGTAGTTTCCAAAATTACTTCTCGGTCTACAATATCGAAAGGTAGTTAGAATCAGGAGCCCTGCACATTGGTTTTTACTCTCGCTTACCTTTGTTTAACTATATTAGCCTTCCTCCTCTTTCGCTTTCAACAAATATTATGTTCAAACATTTAAGTTGTATATGAAATAATTAAGAGCTTGAAATTCTGTCTAGAAAGTAATTATTTTACATTTGAAGGGAGTTTGTATATACAGACAAATGGTGTTGCTATGGGTTCACCAGTCTCCCCCATAAAAGTTGCTGATCTTTTCATGAATAGATTCGAAAATAACTTCTTTTCAAGTATACTCACTCATAAAATATGGTTAACATATGTAGATGATACTTTTGTAGTGCTAAAACGAGCCAGATCTACACAGTTCATTCCTGGAGAAAATAAACTGTGTATCTCCCAGAATCCAGTTTACTTTGGAAGCAGGCAGAATCAGACGTCGGTGAACTACCATTTCTAGACTGCCTCGCTAGTTAAGAGGAGGGAAAAGCGACATTTTAGTATATCCATATTCAGGAAGGAAACCCACTCCAAAAACAAACATTTAGGCTTCACACCCCATCAGCTAATGGTTCCAGTTGTTTCAAGTCTTCGTAGAGGGGTGAGAAAGAAAATGTGGAATAAGAAATATCAAACATTACTGAAACTCTCCTCAAGCAAAACAACTAACTACCCAAGGAACTTCGTCAACAAAATCAACACAGACATTAAGTTTGGCCGAAAACGTATTCCGAAAACATGGACCTCAACAGTCATCATTCCATATAGAGCAGAGACGTCAGATGATATCAGAAGAGTACTCAATCAGCTCGACATTAGAGTTTTCTTCAAAACATCAGACACGCACACTGAGAAACAAACTTGTCCATCTAAAAGACCAAATCCCTGAAGATTCTCTATCTAATTGTGTCTATAAAATGAAATGCTTGCTTGGAATGTGATGCGATATGCATCGGACAAACATCGCTAGAGAGAAATCAAGGTAATCAGAAGAAATGAACACCTTAGAGCATCTGTTCGACCACCGAGAAATAATTCCAGTTGAACTAAGAAAGCTTGAAAAATCATCAGCCACAGCTTGTCTACGCATTACGCTGCGGAATCAGGCCACAAAATTGATTCTGACAATATTGAAATCGTCATGCAGAAAAAGCATTTCGGATATCACAAAGAACGTCTCATATCATCAGAAGCACTTCATATCAAGTGGAATCCAAATTGTCTGAACTGAATAGGAATGATGGACTAAAACAGAATCTGACCTGGTTACAACACCCCTGTCTCGTCTCCAATGAAGTGACAAAATCAACAAGAATGTGATAAGCAATTTCATTATACATAAACACACACTGCTTATATAATTTTACACACTGATCATATCCAACAATGTACACTTGATTTTGTTATCTTTACCAGTTGACCAACTTGAAAAACGAAAAATGACCCCAGACTGAAGAACGATGATCAAGTTAGTAAACTTTGTTTTGATACCAGCCAGGGCAGATGTACTATTACCTCTGTTATTTGGTTTAGTGATTGATCTTCATTGTTATTTTGACTTTCAATATGTCCTCCTTTTAACTTGACCTAAGTAGTCTATTTTCTCACCCACCTCTTAACTCTTTGTTATATATATGCTGAGTGGATTTTGTAAATTCTGGTTTAATAATACTACTTTGATAAAGCTATTAGCAGCAGCAGCATTAAATAGCGAAACGTCAGTAAAAACAAGACAATATCGTTTTGTTCTTTTTCATTCATTGGGAAATACAAGAAAAAACCACCTTTATTATAATGAATATCACATATACCACCCAATGCTCAAACTGTGTTTTCAAACTGTTAAAAGTGAACTTGGTTTGCGGACATATTTAAGTTCTATGTAATTGCCTCCACAAGATTTAGGTAAACCGCTAAGCCCCATGGTAATGTCACTTACACTTTCTTCTCTTTATAGTTTCACTGTGTTTTTGTTCACTCTAATAAAAGTGTATTCTTTTCAAAAACAATTCTACACACAGGTATACCAAAAGGAGTGAAAATCACGCATCGATGTATCATGAACACTATACAGAGTTTATTTCAACGAATTGAAAGTAATGTAAGTATCGTGGTTGCTGTTTTTTGTCGTGTTTTTCCTTCTTCTCTAGCATTTCTTTTGATTCTTATGTGTTTTTTTAATAATAATAATAATAATAGAAATTAAAATCAAAATAGAGTAATCAGCTGGCTGTCTTCATCACAAGAAAGAACTGGTCATTCTCTATCATCATGATAATAATAATCTCTGCTCACGGTACTCACATTGTACTTGCCTATTCTTGTTTTTTTTCTTTTAAACACTGGTGCACTCATATGCATTTTGGTAACGACAGAAGACAAGGGCCAGTCAACAGATCGTTTATTTAGGAAATCAACACATATTTATCGATTTTCATGTACATTATCATAGATTATTGTTAACAGACAAACACAGTCTCCTGATTGGTGGTTTCCAGTTGAACCTTAATCTTTCATCTCTTTGTGGCTGTTTCTTCAAGGTCAAATCATCTATCTATCTGCTAATTGTATCCGCCTACGCAAACAGAGTCTGCTGTGATTGGTTGTTGGTTGAGTCAGTCTTTGTTCTTGTTCTTGTTTTTTTCACAAGACCAATATTTGGGACGTAAACATTGACGTAAATTACTGTCTACCAATTTTTGGCTAGCAAGCAGCCAGCTCTCACCACATTTGTCCCCCGTCAAAGACTTGTGACTGAAGTTGGTTCTGCCTTCTTGGTTCTATGGGTTTTTTACGTTTGTCTTGCTTTCTGAAATCTCGGCACTCACTGATATTCACCTGTTTCTCTTTGTCTAACATTACGATTTTGTCTGCGTAACCCCATCACCTCAAACTGACCATATGTGGTCCTCCTTCCCACTTTGGAAACTGTTTGTCTGACCCTGTCGAACAATCGTTGGTATTTCGCCTCACACTTTCATATGCTGCTTTCTACCGACCTCCCAGCAGCGTCCCAAGTAACAGCCTCATCGCTGACAGATCTTGAACGCCACTCAACTGCACAGAAGCCTCCAAGTCCTACGCGAAGATCCATATGTCTCCATCAAAAACTATAGGGCATAGGCTTTCCATTTGTCGGTAGACAGCGACACCAAATGTAACAACAGAAGACAAGGGTCAGCAAACAGATCGTTTATTTACGAAATCAACAGATGTTTATAGATTTTCATGTACATTATTATAGATTATTGTTAGCAGAAAAACACAGTCTTCTGATTGGTGGTTGTTTCTCACTGAACGTTAGTTAATCTTTCATCTCTTTGTGACTGTTTCTTGAAGGTCAGATCACATGACCAATATTTGGGACGTAAATGTTGATGTAAATTACTGTAGAAATGGTTACAACGCCCGTGGATTGCATAATGCATAATTTTGGAAAAAAATGAAGGGTAGTTAAGGAATAAGCGTGTGCACAGGTTGATTACGTAACAGATTGTTAAAGAAAATAAAACGATTTGGACAACGATAATTTGTAACTAAGGGTGAAGTGCTCATAAGAGTAAAATAGTTTTTACAAGGATAACACGTAATTAAAGATGAAGTGGTCAAAATAAATAAAAATAAAATAATTTGGACAATTATAATTTTTAAAGTTTTAGGCGGAGAAGTAGTCCGGTTTATACATTCATGTAACGATGGCCAAGAAAGGTAAGGAAAGTGGCTGTACAAATTTCTTCTGAATACACACACAGGTTTGGCTTCTTCAGGTGGATTCCTATTGCTTCAGCTGTAGGTATGTAGAAGACGAACTCGTAAAGCGAAATTTGGGTTAGTAGGAATGCGATAAATAATTTTAAATGCAGCATTAACTTCAACCTTATGCTCCCTGTCTAGAAGGTGTGCTAAAATAGAGCTACAATTAGATTTTGCGGCAGCTCTGAAGAACAGGAGCCCAAACCGAAACGATCTACGAACGCACAAACGACCTTGTCAAGGACAACTTTGACGAATCAGAATAGTTACAATAGATAACGTTCTCGTATATGTTGCAAAGAAAGCTCCCAATTTCTCATAGGGGTGTCTTAATACTAATGTTAAACCAAGTTCTATACATGAACTCATCAAGATAACTGTATATCATTGGATTTCTAGATCCATTCACCAATCTAATCCGTTTTATTAGGTGACTCCAGAAACTTCCGATTGAATTAGTATGAGGATTGCGCAAACCGTTTGTATGGTTGACTACATGATGAATATACCGGAGGTTCGACAATTGACCGTAACTGCTCCATTCGTCTGTGTGAATAGTTGTCCCGGGCAGCACTAAGCGCTGGATAATAGGCAATAATACACCTGCACTGTGATTAGGAATCGCCTCCATCTTTTCTTTTTCGGAGGGTGGTATCATAGATACCCAATATCCATTGTTGGTTTGCTCGTAATCTGCCGCGATTATACTTCCTTTTTATTAATACGGTCTCATCAATTTGAACGATTACTCCAACTCCTCCAAGAACTTGAGTTAGGCTGTTCATTTTCCAAGATGATACGTCTCTGCAGTATTGGTACCACTGCACTGCAAACACTTCTGAATTTTCCGTTTCATAAGCCGTTGCTGAAACTGGTCTATTCAGTATCCAGAAATTACAGATCATTAAGATTTTTGTTAAGGGTAATTCAGACTTTGAGAAGAAAGGGCCTAAGGAAACTAAACTAAACTAAAAGAGAACGACATACCCTCTCGAACTGATTTTCTCCTCCGGCACTCATTACACCTGTACACAAACCCATCAATGAACTTTGTGTATTTTTGTATACGGATATCACCTCCGCACTGACAAATTTCCGACCTTGCAATCAGTCCCTTATCCAAACAGTAATCAAAAACAAGATCCGCAGCGAATTTACAACGCAAAAGGTGTACAGTATCCATAATTACTTCTAGAAACAACACAGTCACCTGATTGGTTTCTCAAGGTCGTTTGTGCGTTCGTAGATCGTTTCGGTTTGGCCTTCTATTCTTTAGAGTTGTCGATTTTTGTTTGTCCCTTGAGTAACCATGCTGCAGGACGATGTCTAAATGGGGATTTTTTCTATATTATGTATATATTCGACATTTTGTTTTTGTTTTATTTTTAACTAAAGTTATTCGTAAAAGAAAAAGGAAAACATTTGGGAAATCAATAGGCAGCTTACCTAAGGACACAGTGTGCTGTTTAAGTTTAAATTAAGGTCAAGTAATTCTTGTTTTCGCCTCCACCTCCTGTTCAATGATACTTGACCAGTTCCACTTAACATACGTGCAGTTATCATCAGTAGTCTAGTTCTACTGCTTTCTGTTCGGTAACTGGAAACATAGACAATAAGATAGTGGAGATGAGATGGCGTGCAATGCTCAGGAAAGCTCTGTGTGTGTGCCTATGGGGTTGTGTGAATGGCTTTTATCTGACTGCTGTGCAGACCAAGAAAGTTGATTTCGCTTTTCTTTCTTGGATTCCCTGAAACACAAGGAGCACTAATGTTACGTGACTGCAAAGCCACGAGGACTACTGCTTCAGTTGTTTTGTATGCTGGTGGGATGTACAGTTTTTTGGGGTCGACCTTTCTAACCGCCTCCCCCCCGCCCCAATTCTCGAGAGTTAGAGACAGAGAGAGGCAGCATAGCTGACTTGCTGTTCATCTGAAACAACTTACCGCTGTTACATCCCTCTTCGGTAGCAATCTGATTTCAACAATAGAACACTAATCCACCCACCTCCCGGCAAACATAATGTGAGCGATTAACACTAGTTCCATCCAGTGTGTAACTGGTTGGGTCAGCCAGTGGTCCAAGGAAAACGGTCTTACCTTAAATCCCTCTAAATGTCAAACAGTCAATTTCACCTTTAGGCCATAAATCTGACCTAAACAAACTGGTGATTAGCACTCACGAGGTGAGCAACATGGATGGTACTGAAAGAGAAACCAAATCGTAAATTAAATATCTTGGCGCCATTCTATCTACTGATCTTTTCTGGTCGTCTCATATCTTAGCGATTTCTAAGAAAATATTCCGTCTTACCTTCTACATCAAGAAGTTAAGACATTCTGGAATAACCCAACCCAACCCTTACTCTTACGATTCGTTAACTCTTGCATCCTGCCTATTATTCTCTACTGTTCCCCCTCCCTTATTTTTTCCAGGGCTACTGGAGAAAGACTATACCTTATTACGCAGGATGTGAAAGGTTGTCAGCAGGGTAAGCAACGTGCCACTTAACCAGCTTGTTAATATTCTGGTCGACAGGCAGGCACTTGGACTCATGTGAAAAATGAGGGCTAAATCCATTCTATCTAACTCACACCACCACCCTCTTCATTCACAACTCTCCCCTATTGTATCTCATCAGGCAGGACCAGAAGCCTATATAGAAAACTATATGCTCGCACTAGCAAGTACAAAAACTCAACCATACCCTACTTGGCTTGTGTTCTGTGTGATAAAGAAAGCATTAGGCGTGAAACTTATAACTTATTAAATAGTCAGTAGAACAATTGGATCTCGTCTTTCCAACTCATATCATTTATAGGTACAACGTTTTCTTTCTTTCTTTTCCTTTTCTCTCTCTTTTTTCCGTTATGTACTACTTTGTTTCTTTCTCTCGCTTACGCCAGTAAATATGACAGCACCTACTTTCCAAACATCTTCAAACACTGTTCAGCTTTGGCTTTGCTACCGACATGCCAATATGTTGTTGTCATAATGAACTGAGATTTCCTTAGTCTATGTAGAATTTTATTTATTGTTAATATACAAACTGGATGCAATACTGTAGTGAAATGCTGAGAATTCCATTCTGTATCACAAGTACTGTTTTGGAATAAAGCAAATTACTATTATTATTATTAGTCATTAGTCAATCGATAAGGTTTTGAAGCTACATCAACTGAGAGATGTCTAGGACACGTGTTGTACATCCTGAGTCACCAATTTCCCCGAAGAGAAATGTTAGCCAATATAGGGTTGGGTTGCAAAAGAGTGAAAGGTGGTTAAACTGAATCATGGCGATCTATGTATATATAAAGTCGTTGACAGAGGTGTAGACTGGCTGGTTGGGGACAGTGGCATGCCGAAAAAACCTAATAGCTGGAGACTGTTGGTGATATGATTCGAAAGCGTTGTCAGTGTGGTTCAAATGCATTCACGCTTTATAATCTCTCCTAATTCCATTAAGTCCTCCTCATGTCTTTCCACATACTTTCTCCTAGACACTTTTGTTTATTATTATATATGTGTAAAACTTGAGCACTGTGGGGGTAGTAAGTAATTCCATATTAGTTTGTTTATTAGATGGATCCCTCAGTCAGTGAAACAGTATTAGTATTTCCTGGATGACACAGTTTCGAACAAAATTCATTATTGCGGTTCATAATCATGCCGTCAATTAAAACCACAAAACTTCGAAACTTGACTTTTATAGTTTTCTTTGTCCTCTCTTATTTTTCGTCGTTGGGGTAGTAGAATTCTCCAGACACGTATTTGCAGTTGATTCGATAAACAGTTCACTTATGAATTGGAAAGTCAGGAACCGGGGGAGCTTCCAATGTTAGATTGTAGCGTAAAAAGGAGAGAAGATGGAAAGTTAAACACACTAGTGTGTGTTTACAGGAAACCCACACATTCAAACAGATATTTGGACTTCCGGTCATCCCATCCTATGTCAGTAAAAATAGGATTGGTGAAATGTTTAAATGACACAGCACAAAAACTAAGTAGTACCAAGGAAAATCTAAGACAGGAAGTGAGACATATAAGAGAAGCCTTGAAACTTAATAATTACCCTGATAAATTAGTCAGGAAATATGTAGGGAAATGTAAAAATAAAATAAATAATGATAGTAGTGATAGTGACAATAATAATAATCTTAATGACGACATGCAAGTCAAATATGCGTAAGACAACACCAACAATAAGGAATCTAAATCATCAGTAGTAATCCCATTCAAGGAAAGAACCTCGGAAACCACCCACCTTACGCAGAATTCTTAACAAGGCAGACAGGAATAAAAGTGGCTGGAATTCAAACCAACCACAAACTCACTCAATTAGAAACAAGCTTTGTTGGTTAAAGGATCAATCCTGTGGAGCCAATAAAACAAAACAATTTAGTTTATCTAATACCCTGCTGCTGCAATGATTGTCAGGTCAAATACATAGGTCAAAGTAGTAGAACAGGGTCAGTGAGTCAGACTAGCCGAGTAGCATAAAAACCTAACAGCGAAATCTAGATTAGTTGACTCGAATAAGATAAGAAATCGCAAGCACTACATGCAGTTACACACAACCATACAATAGGATGGGATGGTATAAGATGACAGTTTTAAAATCTAATGTAGCAGCCGGGTGGATGGAGAGAGAGATTGATAACAACGGAAGCTTTGTTTATCGAATCAACTGAGAGAGATTATGTGTAGTGGGAATGATTCAACACCTGTCCACACAGATATCTAGAAAATTCTACTACCCTAATGACGACAATTAGGAGAGAGAAGAAATAAAACTCAAGTTTCGAAGTCGTGTGATTATAATTGGTGATGTGTATGATTATGAACAGCAATAATGAATTGTGTTCGAAACTTTGTCATCCAGTAAATACTAATACTGTTTCACTCACTGACTGTGTGATACATCCATCTAATAAACAAACTAATATGGAATTTGTTTATTTTGAATTCCCCTTTTGTCTCTTTCTCTCGCTGCCTCTCTGCCTTTGTGTGCTACATGAAGTTTGGCTGCTTGAATTCAATTGAAGAACTGCTGCACTTCTTCTTTACAAAGTTCTTATGTGGAGACTATGTCACAACCATATGGTAACTGGACTTCTCTTATTGTGTTCTCTTATTTCTGTCTCTTCATCCTGTAGGTCTTCAACAGTAGTGCTGCACATTTATCCTACCTACCGTTGGCTCATGTAATGGAACAGTTGGTTTCGGTAAGCCTATTTTTATTATTGATTTATTTTTTGGTTACAGGATTTCATCATGAGCTGACATCAGTTGGTTAGAGAACCATTGGAAAACCCGCCACTGGGAGTACTGGACAGCTGTTTCGTTACCTGGGTGGGTTCTAGTGGGAAGTCGTGACCAGTAGGGTGCAGCAGGTCGGGTGTCTGCCTGTCTGTTTGGATTTGACATAAAACTTGGCACCGAAGTGCACCAGTTCGAGTTGTCACGTTCCAAATAGCACACAAAGGTAGACAAGAAGATGGATGAGTGAAAAGAATCAATAGAGTTTTGACAAGTATAAGAGTGAAACAGAATGAGTAATGGTAGAAAGGAATATGAAAGATTACACAAGAGACTGAATACATCTGCGTAAGCCATTGACAAGGATTTTGAGCCATGTCACCTATTGTCTCCAGCCATTGATTCTTAGAGTCCCGAGGGCGGGCCCCAACCCGGAAGTCTGCATCTCCCTCCCTACCTGACTCAGTTTAACTGTCAAGGATTTCATGGATTGATGAGGCCATGTGTTTGTTTGGCCACCACTTACTCTTTTCCAACCTGCACCTATATCAGCTAGTAATGCCCGTCGGGAGGGGGAGGCGATGGCTAGGCATGCGCAGCACGTCACCTAGCCATCTCAATCGATGTAACTTTATAGCCTCTTCGATTGATTTCCCTCTTTGCCCAACACTCTACGACTAACCTAACGTCAACATTACTTACCTTATTATACCACCTTACGTGAGAAAGAGATAGTAGACATCTATGATCAAAAGCAGTCAACCTTTTCGTGTCTTGAACTGGTATTGGCAGGTCGGGTGTGAGGACAAATACTCGCTGAAGACATTGGCTAGCGGTTGTGCTATATCGTGAATTGTCAGAAGTTAGAATTCATGGGCCATTGGATTGGGTCCCAGTGGCTTGACGGTCTACGATCTAGCCTTGTAACCAGAACGTGGTCCTTGGTTTGAACCCGTTGTGGTGTTTTGTACTGCTGAAGAGTTCCTAACTAGGATGAAACGGCTGTCTGGCAGTACTCCCTGCAGGTTTTCCAATGGTTCTCTAACCAACTGATGTCAGCTCATGATGAAATCCTGTAACCAATCAATCAACCAAATCCCTACCAACCAATACTCGAATTTTTATTTATTGATTTTTATTGCATTTTCATTTTGAAAAAATATTATTCTAGTATCTCAAGATTTACATCTATGCAAAGTTTAGATCAGTGGTGGCTGTGGAGTGGTTTCTTGGAGTGAAGTTGGTAGAAGCCATTAGGCATCTGCTTGTCTAGTCGCCTGTCTATTTGTACTCATCCTGCCTGCAGCAGACCTGGATAAGTGTTACACTTCTTGTGTGAAGACTGACTTATAATACTACCTAGTTGCCAAGACCAAACAAAGTTGGTGGAGCTGGACTGGACTGGTTCTCTCGAACTTAAGAAATGTGCGATGAAATACCTCAACGCTAAAGTCATTGTGCCACATCTACACTTTCTATCCCACACAGACAACAATACAACCATATCAAAATCATACACCTCAGCTAAAAATATCTTCTCCCGCATATCTAAATCTTACGAGCGGAACACGCTTCTTTCGCCAAAAGGCAAGAGTCCACCAGAGAACAATTATACTTTCTCCATGAGTGCCTTCATCAAATCCTACCGACCAGTGTCAGATACAAACAACCAGTCAACTGTCCAATGGGATGGATGGAAATTGGTCGAACAAAATGTGGAAGACGAATGGTCAAATTGTTTATGATTACAGACGCACATTATCGGATCAACAAATAGTAGATGTTTCTTCAAAAACTTCATGCAATTCTTCCCATTAATAAACTTGAACAAAGCAAGAACAACAATTGTACCTGGACAATATGAGCTCATGTCTTTTTTATTATTATTTCGAGGATTCTTCTCAACTGGTTACAACCTGAGCGATAAAAAATATGAATTACATTACAGTAAAGATTTGAACATACTTTTCCACGATCACAAGGAGTAATTGGTAGGAAGTAAAAGCAACATTAGTCCGGAATGATTTAGCTAATCAAGAGTTACAAACACACTGACTATTTATAGAATAATTAGACAATTAGGCTTGGAAACAAAAACAGAGTTGCATATATATATATATATGTATAGAAACAAGGTTTAGCTAGAAATGAGCATAACAAAAAAGCAGATTACGTAACTAAAGAAAATGCTTTATCTAATAGCCAATAGAAAAGAACAAGAAAGGATGAGTCATGTTTAGATGAGAAAGAGAGTAGAGTTTTCTAAACAAGAAAAGGTGACTCATACAAGTTGTATATTTTGTTGTCACCAGGGCAGTGGAAGATTCACCACTGTCTCTTTCTGCATACACATAGATTTGGTTTAAGTCGTTTGGTAGCAATTGCTTCAGCAAAGTGTAGCAAGCTGGGTTTCTTTTGCCTGTTGATTATTTTGAATGACTTCAGGTTGTCTACAATATTACCAGTGTCCAACAGAAGACGCGCAGTCGCACTGTTTAATACTTGTGGACCTTTCAGTCTCAGGTTCTTTGGTATGTGTTCAGAAATGCGGACAATAACCCTTCTCTCTGTTCTTCCGATGTATGTGCTTTGGCACGTACAACATGTAAATTGGTAGACATAGTTGGAGGTAACATGAGGTGGGTATTTGTCCACTTTTGATTGTCTTAAACAACTAGTTGTTTGGTAAACACATACAAGCTTGGCGGCTGGATATGTTCTTTTCAGGGCAGTGTTCAGTCTGCATCTTTCTCTACTAAGGTCCAAAAAGAAAATAACTAGAGAAAACCACACCTTTAACCAAGAACACCTGTCAACGCTGATCACCGCAATTACCGTTGTTAAGTAGACGACACAGAGAACAAAGATGGAGAGTTCTCAATACCAAGCGTGAAAATGAGTAGAGAGCTTACGAAACAATCGTGGATCCAACTAGAGAGGACTGTAGACAAAAACAACAGAAGGAAACGGATATGTACCACTGAAGCCCTCCCTGTATGTGTTCTATTAGGGACATTAGGAGACCTATGACTTGCTTTGCTCTTAATAACATAATTTTAGGCTCTTTTATTTCTCTCTTATTTTGTATTCTATAGTGAACTCCTTCTTAAACATTCTTAGCTACCTAAATTATTAACATTGGCTTACTTTTTTGTACTTTACTCTCTATTCCTTCTTTTGCGTATCCACTGGTCCCGACTATATTAGCCCTATGAGTAGTACAAAATTTTCCTGTCATTAACCATCATGTAATTATTAATTTTGTGGTTGTTTTTTCTTATTTTTTATTTTTTTCGGCAATATTAAACTGACAATCATTGGTTGTGAACGCCATTGTCACCACCGTAAAAATTTTGTATTATGCAGGATTACTCACACTACCACTAGAAACACTGCATTAGACCTGACAATAAATAAAACAAAACAACAACCCTGAAATGTTATTTTGTGATTGTTTAGAGTTGTTTCAACCAAATTAACTGATTATCTTGGCGGTAAACATTCTTAAATATTATTTCATAACTTCTTGTATGACTATAGCTTTACTGTCACCATGCATAATCATATCATAGCTTCCACTACCCAATACTGAGATATTATTTATTATGTTGTTTATTTTCCTTTCTACTTCTTGATATTTTTTCGCATTAAAAAAAATTATTTTGTGTTTTTCCTGTTTCTTTTTGCTGTTGGTGTCTTTATATTTATTATTATTATTTTTTTGAAATACTCCTTTTAAACACCATAATTTTGAAAATACGTCTAATCATAAAATTCTAGATACTAACAGTGTGAACAGACATGAAGGTCTGATGTTAGCTGATGCATAGGAAATCCTTATTAATAAATAACAAAATGGATATGTATCACTAATTAATTAATAATACTGGGTCAAAATTCTCGACTGTCCATATCATCTTATGGAGACGTTAACAAATGTTTTACAACTGTTTACACACACACACACATACACACTCTGTTTAAAGTGTTTAACAAAGGTAGACCAATATTTGTAAGAAGTCCCAGGTCAAATTTTGATCACAGCTCATAAAATTTTGTTTATTATACTTGTTGAATGACTCATGATTGAACTAAGTTTTTAAAAACAAGTGATGTCCCCCTTTTTATATATAAACCTATATTATGTTAATTTCGATTAATTTCCCTGAAGAAGTTCGGACCAGATTGCGACGAACACAGAGGAAACGTTGGAATTACTCATTTCAATCTCGCTGAGATTTTACAAATCTAATAATTTTTTACAAATGTCTACTTCTCACTCGGCGCCCAAATATTTTAGAACTATTCTGTGTCAAATCTTGACGACAGACAGTTCATTTGAACTCCTTTTAAATGTTTGATAAAATTAAATGCAAATATTGTAGATATGTGCTGAAAATTCCACACACTGTACCACCAGTACTGTTTCTGGAATAAAGCAAATTATTATTATTATTATTGTTAATAGTGATAATATAAGATGGAAAATGATAGTGTAATAGTATGTGGCATCTGACATATTCAAAATGACAAGTAGTTCAGCAAAGAGTCTCTTTTCGGCGAATTCATTTTCAAAGCTGTACAATCGCAAATATATGTATGGTTATTTTGTGTGTGTGTGTGTGTGTGTATTCATTAAATTTGTCAAAAGAAAATACGGTTAGTAAGTTCAAATGAATTGGATGTTCATATAAGAGGGTAGTAACAAAAGTGATGAGTTGTCAAAACTACTACTGAGATGTACACTCAATGTGCAATTCACATTCAACGACATTATTTACAGACAACAAGATGGGATCGCAATGGGATCTCCACTGGGCCCATTACTAGCAGACTGCTTCATGGCAAGCCTCGACAATGGCCCACTCAAATCAACCATCGACAATTTCCAGTTGTACGTTAGATATGTTGACGACATCTTTATCATCTGTGATGACGATCACAATCTCAATCAACTACTACAAATATTCAACAAATGCCATCCAGCCACAAAGTTCACTTTGGAAACTGAAAACGAATCTAAAATCCCTTTTCTTGACGTTGAGCTTACAAGGAGAGATGACGGAACTTTAAGAAGGTCAATCCATAGGAAACTGACTTGGAACGGACAATTAACAAGTTTCTACAGCTGGGTACCAATCAGTCGGAAAAGAAACCTAATTAAATCCCTTGCCACTCGCGTCAGACGCATCTGCAGCTCCGACACCATGGAAGAAGAATTAAACTTCCTGAGGGAAATCTTCATACAAAATGGCTACCCATCAAGATTTGTAGACAAAAACATCAAACAGAAAAACCAAAAGCAAGAGACACCATCCGTGCCAAAAAAGATACTTTATATGAACCTAGACTACAAAGGAGACCTACTTAGCGACGTCCTCAGAAGGAGAATTTCCACCTCTTTAGGAAGAACTTTCCCTGCGGCAACACTAAGAGTAGTGTTCTCCAGTCGCCCGCTGATCTGCAGAAACCCAAAGGACAAGATTCCGCACATGAACACTTCTATGTGTATATATCAGTTCACCTGTTGCTGTGGAGCCAAGTACATCGGTCGTTCAACGCGCATCCTGTCAAAAAGGGTCAAAGAACACTACCCAGCGTGGCTACAGAAAGGAAATAATGGCCATATAAGGAGTGCAATAATCGAACATCTAGTCAACACTGGTCATTCCATCTCAACGAACGCCTCCTTCAAAGTGATCTACAAGGTGAAGAACAACCTCCCAAAGACAGTACGATTTCGTCTTCTTTGCATCGCAGAAGCCCTAGCCATCCAGTTGGTGGAACCAGAACTATGTATACAAAAGAAAATTATCCAACCACTTCTACTCGCATGGCAACAACTCCGTTGATTTGACCCAACTCTTCTTTGTTTGTTTGATTTGACCTTACTTCTGTTTGTATGCTTATTTTTCTAACTTACAACCCTTGTGTAATTCTGTATATTATTTTGTTTCCATGCTCACCCTTTGAGTACAACTCATTCATCAAACTATTCATGCCATTACGTAACTCTTATTTAACAATCATTTATGACAACTCATCACTTTTGTTGCTATCCTCTTATCAACATCCAATTCATCTGAACTTACTAATTGTATTTTCGTTTGACAAATTTAATATACACACACATACAAAACAACCATATATATTTGCGATTGTACAGCTTTGAAAATGAATTCGCCGAAAAGAGACTCTTTGCTGAACTACTTGTCTTTTGTCTACTAATGTTCGAATGGGAATTATTCATGAATATTCAAAATGCTCGCTAAATATCTTTTTTTTATACTTATATATATGTATGTTTTTATATACACATATAGCTGTCTACCCTCATGTGTGGTGCTAGAATTGGCTTTTTAACTGACGGTATTCAAGGATTGTTGTCTGACCTCCAGGCTGTTAAACCAACCTACTTTTTCACTGTTCCACGAGTACTGACTCGATTATATTCTGCTACACTGGATCGGATTTCAACTTATCCTTTACTGCCCAAGATATTCCGTCATGCTATTAAGAAAAAAGTTTCTGAACAAGAAGAGTAAGTCACAATATGATCGTAAACGGTGGTTTCTTTTTTTTTGATGCCTTTGAGAGAGTGTACCAAATTTTGAATGAATTGCCCGGGGGTGAAATGCAAATTTTTCTCTCTCTGCACTTTTAAAGTTGACCTTGAGGAACTAAATAGGTAACACAACAGAAGGCAACAAGGGCCAGGCAAACAGATCGTTTATTAAGGAAAATCAACAGATATTTATCGATTTTCATGTACATTATTATAGATTATTGTTGGCAGACAAACACAGTCTTCTGATTGGTGGTTGTTTCTCACTGAACGTTAGTTAATCTTTCATCTCTTTGTGGCTGTGTCAGATCATCCATATGTTAACTGTATCCGCCTACGTAAAGCCTTTGTTCTCATTTTCTCACCACCACCAATATTGTGGACATAAACATTGACGTCAATTACTGTTGTCTACCAACTTTGGCTAGCAGCCAGCTCTCACCACACTCGTCCACCCGCGTCAAAGACTTGCGATTGAAGTTGATTTGGTCTTCTTGGTTCTTGGGGCTGTGCTCTTTTGTCTTGCTGTCTGGAATCTCGGCGCTTGCGGATGTTCACCTGTTTCTCTGTGTTTACCATTGCGATTGTGTCTGTGATGTTAACTGCACTATGAATCCTGTATGACAAATGTAACAACAGAAGACAAGGTCCAGGCAACAGATCGTTTAATTACGAAATCAACAGATATTTATCGATTTTCATGTACATTATTATTGATAATATTATTGTAAGCAAACAAACACAGTCTTCTGATTGTTGACTGTTTCTCACTGAACGTTGGTTATTCTTTCATCTCTTTGTAACTGTTTCTTGAAGGTCAGATCATCTGCTATCTGCAAATTGTATCCGCCTACGCAAACCAAGTGTGCTGTGATTGGTTGTTGAGTCAGTCAGTCTTTGTTCTTGTTTTTCACAAGACCAATATTCGGGACATAAACACTAATTTTAGGCTAGCAGACAGCTCTCACCAGACTCGTCCTCCCGCCTCAAAGACTTCCGACTGAAGTCGATTCGGTCTTCTTGGTTCTAGGGGCTTTGTTCGTCTGTCTTGCTGCCAGAAATCTAGGCGCTCACTGATATTCATCTGTTTCTTTTCGTCTAACGTTGCGATTATATCTGCGTAACCCCATCACCTAAAACTGACCATTTGTGGAGCTTCCTACTTTGGAAACTGTTTGCCTGACCCTGTCGAACATTCGCCGGTATTTCGCCTCACACTTTCATATGCTGCTTTCTCCCGACCTCCCAGCAGCGTTCCAAGTAACAGCCTCATCACTGACAGATCTTAACGCCACTCAACTGCGCAGAAGTCTCAAAGTCCTGCGCGAAGATCCATATGTCTCCATCGAAAACTGCAGGGCATAGGTTTTCAATTTGTCGGTAGGCAGCGACACCAAATGTGACAGCAGAAGACAATAGCCAGGCAGCAGATCGTTTATTTAGGAAATCAACACATATTTATAGAAGATTTTCATATACATTATAATAGATTATTGTTAGGAGACAAACACAGTCTTCTGATTGTTGACTGTTTCTCACTGAACGTTAGTTAATCTTTCATCTCTTTGTGACTGTTTCTTGAAGGTCAGATCATCTGCTATCCGCTAATTGTATCCGCCCACGCAAACGAAGTCTGCTGTGATTGGTTGTTGAGTCAGTCAGTCTTTGTTCTTGTCCTTCTTTTCACATGACCAATATTTGGGACGTGGTCCAAGTGGTCTAGTGGATAACGTTGTGCGTCGGTAGCATAGTGGTTAGGACGCTCTCCGACCATGCACATGGTCCTGGGTTCGATCCCCGGCCGACGCACTCCTTTACCTCGCTAAGCCAGAAAAAACGCTGGTGAAGAGGAAAGGTTGGGCATGAGGCTAGCAACCCTATCCTATAAAATAAACACTGCTACAGAAACTTCAAGCCACTAGCTTGAAGCCCTATGTTCCACTGGGGAACGTGAAGGAAATTTTAAAAAATATTTGGTACATCAACATTGACGTAAATTACTGTCTACCAATTTTTGGCTAGCAGACAGCTCTCACCACAAAAACATAAAGTGCAAAAGTGTGTTTTCAACAGGTGGATGCTTTATGGCATTTTTAGTTTCATGTGGGACTGTTATGTATTATTTATTTCCTATTGTATCGTAGACAAGATTCTGAAAGCTCTCTAATAATGTTTAATGCAAGCTCTTCTCTACGCTTTACTTTTTTCACTTAGAATATGCATGCGGATGATATAGGCCTCAACAACTAGGTGAAGACGCTGACAAAATCCAGCAAAGTCTTCTGAACACCTTGAGTTGAGCAGCAATCTGCAAATGTTTGGCATGCGATTCGCTCATGCTGCTGTCAAATGTAAGATGATGAGGCTACAGGACTGACTGGACAACATTGACTCATTCCTAGCTTTTAGAAATATGGAGTGAAGTGGTTCGTGGGGGGGGCGTGTTGACCACTTCACTTATTTGGGTGGGAGGTTGCATCAGCCAATTGCCAACGGGTTGATCTCATCGCTGACGAAATCTTAGCTGGGTACGGCGGATACAGAAGGCGGCTGTCGACCAAAGGGCAGGAGTACTGCTTAACAGTTCGCTCTGTCCTCCTTTATGGCGGGCTGGCTGGCTGTGAGACCTGGCCACTGAGAGTTGAAGACATGAAAAGCCTGGCCGACTAGCTGTCTTAGATCATAGGTGCCTGCGTTCGTTCTACCTGCCTCCCTCCCGTGTTAGTTGGTGGTATAATAGGGCGAGGAATATTGTGGTTAGGGATCAGTCGAGTGCTAGGTAAGGAGGAGATGAAATCAATAAACAAGGCTGTGAAATTACATCGACTGAGATGGTTCGGACACCTGTTGCTGACATAGGGTCAGACTGCAAAAGAGCTAGCGGCAGTCAAACCAAAATATGGCTTCATCAGTCAATGAAATCTACAACAGTTAGTCTAAGGCACGTAGGAAGGTTTAGACTTCTTGGTTGGGGTCCTCGGGACGGTAAATACCAATGGTTATAAAAAATTGGTGACATGGCTCAAAATCGTTCTTAATGGCCAACGCAGATGCATCCACTCCTTGTGACTTATGATTTCCGATGAAACTGTTTTGTTCTTCGTTATTACTTTTCCTTTGTCTCATACCTCTGTTTACTGTCTCTATTATGCATTTCTCCTACTTTCTTCTCTTGCTTTGTGTGCTACATGGAGTGGAGGGAGTGTGGCGACTTGAACTGCCGCACATATGTGCAAAGTTCTATGTCGAAAACCGACCGACCGACCGACTGTTAACTGACTAACACTCCATAATTACCTGTAAACTTTGATTTCTTCTTCACATAATTCTCCCTATATGACATTTGGACGCCCAGCCTATCCCTCCTCATTCGAGTTCCATCAGACAACCCTCTATATTTTATTCAAGTGTTGGTTTGTAGGGATTTGATTGGACACAGGATTTTCATCATGAGCTGACATTAGTTAGAGAACCATTGGAAAACCTGTGAGTACTGGACAGCTGTTTCGTCCTAGTTTGGGACTCTTCATCAGTACGCAGCAGTACGTACTCTATATTTCATGTCTATGGTATGTGTATTCTCCACGTATGTCCAATCTATCTGCATTTCTTTCTTCATATTTCATTATAGCAAAAATATTCATTCAGACATCTATAAAACACAAAATAATTCAGCCAGCAAAGAATATCCTTTTCGATAAATTCCTCCTCTTCTGGCTCTACAATTATATCTATATATGCATGTTTATATACATAGAATACGACTCCAGTATTTCATTTCTAGACGGCCTTATGACTAGAAAAGAGGATGGTGCAATAAGAAGAGGAAGTGTATATAGGAAACCTACATCAACTGACCGTCAGTATACTTGTAATTATCTCACTTGGTATAACGCCCTTGAATTGCAGTCGTTTATAAAGAGGCTTCTTGTTTACGGATCGAGAGCGAGTGGTCCTTTCCCACTTCAATTTGAAATAAGTGACTAACATGCCCAAGTGCTTTCCCCCATTCAATGCTCTGTATATGTTAACGATTGCGAATACTCTGTTCAGTATAATAGGGAAAATTTTTTTAAAAAGGCTTGTTCTGACAAAACATTTTAATGGCGTTCATTTTAGAAGAAAACAATGAAAAAATCGGTATACTAGTTTAAAAGTACAGAATTTTTTTCAAGCCATACTGTTGGCGGGATCAATAAACAACGACAAGGTCATGAACACAAAAAGTACACATCATCAAAATCATCATATTTTTCCTCTTTCATGACCTTTGTTTACATGATTTTTTATTTTTTACTTTTGAGCTTTATTTATCCTTAAACTTTGATTACAATTGAAGATAGAACATGCCCTAATATATAGCCAGCATTTTTCATACATACTGTAATTAACTTGATACAAGTATAAAACTTGGACACTGTAGTGTGTGTGGTAGAGTATAACTACTCCATTATGGATAAGATTTTCTGTTTTGATAAACTGTCACTCACAGTGTGTGTGTAGTGTTATACAGTAAGTATATTATTAACTGATGCGACCACACGCTTCGAGCACAATTTATTATTGCCACTCATAATCATCATATCAAGTCACTCACTCACTCACTCACTGACACAACTTTCGTCTTCCTTCATTTATATACATGAGTGGAATTCATGATTAGACATTTGAATACAAATCAGTAATATGGGATAATGTACATTCAGAAATAATAATAATATGAGTGTTATTGATCAATTACAATCAGATGGGAAATAAGACGAGTGTTTGTTTTATAGTCATAATAAGTGAGTAACTTGTTAGAATGTTGTGATGTACGTGAATTGAATTGAAATAGAATACAATTTAAGATTATTTATTATCCTCCTCTGATTTCACTGACTGACTGACTGACTGACTGGTGGTAATAATATCTTCCACACATATCGCTGGTATTTGCATTGAGTCATTTCTGTTGCATGTGTTGTGTTGGGTGT